TTAAAAAGCATTAAAGAGAATGAAGAATCAACGTATTCGGTAGTAATCCATCATTGCATCATTATAAGTATCATTAGTGTATCACCATTTCCTTGAAATTTTCGCTCAAAAGTTCATTAAAAATTAATTAAAGAGATCGATGTCACGCTAGAGAAAAAAAAAAAGCGATTCAACTGACGAGATGATAAAATTAAGATAAGCAAAATTACGTAACGTTTGATGATGAGTAAATCGTTCATTAATGAATTGACTAGGTATTTGAAGAAAGTTTGATCCTCGACTTAAAGCAAACACGATAAATGCTCGCACTCTCGGTACATCGTATAGGATAAATAAAACCGTTTGCTTTGTGACAATATTGACTTGATCCCAGATAAGTGTAAAGTGGCCGCTCGTATTGTTTCGGGCCAAGATGCAACACTTAATCGGCATAATATTATATCCTTTGAGGGAAAGAAGAAAGGAAAATCAATCAACTGCAACAACAACAAGAGTTGCCGAGGGTGGGAGAAATCAATGCAGTGATTGGCCGTCGAGAGAGAAAGAGATAAACGCGGATGTAACCTTAATAAGTTTCCTGGGCGCGTCGACAATGTATGAAAGAGTCCGGCCGGCCGGGGTTGTCAATCAAGGGGACAAGAGAGTGGCCGCCGTGTGTGAGCCGATGCCGATGCGTCGGATTCGCGGAACCGATTGTATAAAATTATACAGTGTCGCGAGCCGGCCAGTTTTCTCTCTCTCTCTGTACACGTAGGATACGCGTGCGACCGGCTTGTTTTTTGTTTAATGCCGCTTATTCCTTGCCGATTGCTTTATTCATGTTTAAGGAGGAAAACGCGCTCTTTATCGGAGTTGCCGAGAACGCCGACTTTTTTTTTTCTTTTTTTTTTTTTTTTATATTATGTATTTGAAAGTGGGGAGATAAAAAACATCTGGCTATACCAGTCGTGAGGAACAAGCTGCTAGCAATGATTTTTTATTTCTTTTTATAGTTTATGGTAAAAATTTTTACAGCAACAACTATAAATTACCACGTTTTAAACACAAATATCTAAATAAGTTTTCTCTCACAAAGTTAGTTGGATACCATGTAATCTCTGACACTTTGTTTAATATTTTCTATAAACTTTTCCCACAACAAAATCAACAGGACTGACAATTTTCTTTCAAGCAATTACGAAAACCTTCTTACAACTCATTGTTGGCCAATTCGCTCCACCTTCATTGTTTACACATGCTGTCACAAAGTTTTCTTTGTTTTTTCGCAAATTTAAGAAAATTTCAGTCAACTGCATTGCTTGACAAATATACTTGAATTCATATTTTCACGGGGGTAAAATCTCGTTTTCTCTCGTCATCGTCGCGTTAAAAAGCTCACGTTTTGCTGCAAAACTAAGTAACACAACGTTGTGAGTCAATTAACAAACTCGAAAGAGCAATTCAGCCGCGATACGGCAAAGGTATAACCCGCACAAAAGAGCAAGTCAAAGTTTCAAAGGATCCGCGTATACAGAGAGACAATAACGCGACTCTTGGTGTACGTTCATAGACATATGGACGGGAGGGGTCGAGAGGGTTGCCTTTAGCAGAGCCAAAGTCCTATACTTATAGGGAGAAGGGAGAACCGAGGGGAGAACGTCAATAAGCGAAACTCGATCTGTTCAAATAGACCATATATACCAAGGTGCAGTATAGAAACAGTATATCGAGGGGTAGACAAAAGGAGCTTCGTTGCGTACGATCCGACGTACTATACAACATGTACTTATGGACTTTTAACGTTGCATTTACCTTGTATACCTACACTGCTGTTGCACGCGTGTTTATGTGAAGCGCTATACCCCCCCTAAACGACGAAGTAAGTGACTTATGCACCCCCCCCCTACCTCCTCCAGCTTGGAGCTCACGTTGCACGGGTGCGTAATAGTACCTTGGTAAACTTAGACGGTGGTGCAAGCTAAACGCCTCGAAAAACGAGAATCCAAAAATTACAATGCAAGGCAACGAGCTGTTATTAACCGTTTAGTTTATATAAACTCTCCTCCTCTTTCCTCCCTCCTCCGTGTTTATCCAAATTTAGCGAGATGAGAGATTTTTCACATCCCAATTTAAGAGCACGTCGATTTCACTCGTTCATTTTGAGTTTCGTCACACGTAAGGATACAGGTATATGTATATATGTGTATCTGAGGAGAGACAACTTCATAATTAGGCGCGTGTGTCGATTTATAAAACGACAAGAACCTCCTTTACTTATTCCTATATGTATATACACATTTATATAAAAATACTAATTATTCTCTTCTATAAAGTTTTACTTTCACTATATATTATCTTAATTGTATGACCACATTACAATACATGGTTTAAATTTTGAAATGAAAAATCAATTTCAATATAGGAGTAAAGTTAAGTCTACTGTCAAAGGTTCAAAAAATTGAGGTAACACATTAGAAAAATTTAATAAGATTTTTAAATATTCATTCGTCCAACAATACCAAGATGTATTTAAAAAAAAAGTTTTTTTTTTAAGCGAATGTTATTTCTTGTTTTATTGTACCCAATAAAATCAAACATGAATCGTTATCATAAACTGTAACAAAATATTTTATCAAGTGAAATACGGCTCTTCAAAGTAAAGCACTCNAAAAAAAAAAAAAAAAGAAAAGAAAAAAAAATATCTAACACAACTCAAAGAATAATTTTAAATGTGTCGTGCGTTTGCATGTACGAGCGAAAGTGGAAAGGAGGCGGAGTGGGAGATATCAAACGAAAGAAAACTACTCGAAATGGATGTAAAAAACAGAGAAATCAATGCTGGGTCTATATAACGGAGAGTAAAAAAAAAAAAAAAAAAAAGGTATGACCACATTACAATACATGGGCAATGCTGTGAAACATCAACTTACATTGCGCGTGTGTCATTAATGTTATTCATATACTTGATGTTGTACCCCGTGACTATTATCATACGGGGAGTAAAAAAAAAAAAAAAAAAAAAAGAAAAGAAAAAAAAAGTCGTCCAAGACTATAGGTCAGTCCTATCGGTGTGTCGGGGCACTTATGCGCACACCCACATGTTTTTCTCAATTAAGCGCCGAGAGCCGAGGAGATTAATGGCAGCAAGAGTCGGCTCGATCGATTGTTCGGCTTTTATTTCAATACCCCCATTCTTATATATCTATGTCCGTGGGATTAAACACGTGCGCCAAGCAACACGATGGTATAAAATGTTTATCTATACTCGGCCACGCTCATTGGCCAAGAGATCAACAACAGGCTTCTACAGTTAATATATATGTATATATATACACGCACTAATGGAAAAAAAGGTGCACACGTATACACAATACGAACATCGAATCGCTATCTCTAAACATTTATTGTAAAGCGCAATGTGCCATTGACAACAGTTCATACATTTATATATGTGTTCCTCTCGAAGAGCATATTTATTATAGACGTCTCTTGTTATCGACCATCCAACAGTTACAATACTTAATTTAAACGCGAAAAAGCGACAAGTGCATGCATGTGGGCTTGGACGTCCGCACGGCTATTAGCACACCATCACGTGTGGAGATCGGCTTTGAATGTACGTTTCCACACTATACAATTGTACGCACCAGCTCGCACATATTTTGCTGGTTGGAGTATGTAATGATGCGACCGACAGTTTAGCTATATACCTACGCTCTTTACTCGTCTGAGGGAGTGCCAATTTGACCTGTATTCGGGAGTTTTTTTTTTTTTTTTGAAAATTCACATCTTGACAAGTGACCGGTTAGCTTTGTAAAAGCCATTTAATGTATATACATACCGTCTGATGTACAAATGTCATGATTGATTTGTTGTGTACTTGTGCACCGTTGGCAAGAATTACCTTTACCTTTTAAACTTTTTCAAGAAATCGGTTTATGTTATTTCATCTTACTTATCTACTGCAGTGATTGGGTGTGCAGCTGCAAAAATTGATTGAGCAAAACGTTTCGTCAATGTCATTGTGACAACAGCAATCGAAACTGAACCCTCAGATCGTCCGGACTGGTGTTTTGATCCATGGCGATTATGTGAGAACTTGGTGTTGAATAAAATATATTGTCTATCTATTGCTGCTTTACATATAGCTATACAATAGCGAGAGTTAAAGTATACTTACATCTAATAAAATTACTTGACAATCATTTTTGGGATGTTTACTCCGGTTTACTCTTGCAAATTGCACAACCGTCGCTATAAATCCAAGTATCTTAAAACTTGTTTTAATTCGTCTAACAAGTACTTGGATTTTCAGTAATACTATATTGTAATAAATCTACAATAGCGTATACAATGCAATGACAACACGTGCAAACAAAGATGAGACGCGTCATCATTTCACGTACCGCCTTGCGACTGATAGTTTCTCAGGTATATAGGGCCGTCACTATAGCTCGCGTATTATATACGAGAAAAGCCGCACCGCGCAGTTCATCATCGTGCATTATAATTTCAGTGTTTGGGGACGCGCGCGTACGCACACGTCTATAACCCTATAGAACAATAAAGCTGCAACACCTGGGGGTGGTTGGGTGGGATTATGGAGTGGTATATGTTTTAAACGTACACTACACGTTTTAAACGTCTAAAATAATAATAATAATGAGATTTTCTCTCCAATCTAGAGAAATAATCAAAGTCAGCCTCCTCGGGTATATTGTAAGGTCTGATTGGTGAACGAATTTCGTTTGCAACGAGGAAGATCGTGCGATTCAGAACAAGTAAATTCTACTTTTTTTTTTTCTTTTCACATTTTATGATAATCATAATCGGTGCATAAAACGTATTCACAATTTTTATTTGGTACGTTTATTCGTGATGTGTCTGTGGAAAGATCCCTCAAGTTTTTGTCATCACGTGTCCCCAAATTTTCCATAAACTTTGTTCAATCGACAGTTTTTCCCATCTTTGACAATAAAATGACTATAATAAAAGTGTAAAAATCTGTTGTTCGTTCACAGGAATACTCGCAGCTGACGAAAGAGCTAGCAGCAGCGCGAGAGAGCATACACGAGAAGGACGAGGAGATCACGGAACTGAAAGCGGAGCGAAACAACACGAGGGTAAGCGCCATTGTCTCCAACCGCTCACTCGGTTCTTACACAATTTTTGTTCCTGATTGTCGCTATTTTTTTTTCACACCGTTTTCAGGGTATCAATTAACATTACCAAGTATATCTACACATGAGACTATTGTTTTTTTTTTTTCGTAAAGATTTGATTCGTGACCAACGATCACTAGAACACGTCTCACCCACCCAACGAGCTTTCACAATAAAGTACACCTATCCGAAGATTTAGCAAACTAATGTACGTCCACACTTTATTATCTCTCTCTGATCTCATGTATTTCCGAAAAACTTTGCGAGAGACTTGTCTTGATTTCATTGTGCTCATACCCCCAATTGTTTTCTATTTTAATTGTACTTATTGTACGGTATCAAATGGAGATATAATTATTTTAATGAAGCCAAAGCTATGTATAGCAGATGCATCGAAGCAGCGTGAAAATTTCACCTTTTGTGAGTCGATTTGTTTTATTGGTATCGAGATAATAGATGTATCTTTATAAATTATGAAAAATGAAAATTTTATGTAGAATATCTAAACCAACTACCAAAATTTTGATCTAAAAGCTTAAAGTTATGTTTTTTTTTTTTTTTTTTTCCCAGTCACGTGCGTAAAGGCAAAAACAAGGAGATCGAGGATCACGTAGTCAATTGGAGAACAAAAAAGAAAAACGCATCCGCCNTTTTTTTTTTTTTTTTTTTTTTTTCTTTCTAAGTGTTATTAAAGCTTGAGTGTGCACTGTATGACGTGCGTTTTACATCGATGCGCACAAATTTTGGTAAACATGAAGTACTAAAATCATAAAAACAAATACATACATACATACACAATATATTTAGGTATTTACAACATCATAGATTTGCATTAACCAAGCAATTTACAAATTTTTTGTACTGCACCTAGTATATAATACATACTATATGTTTTATTGCTTTGAAACAACACACAGTGTATATATAGGTACGTGGTAGTAGTACGCAGTATGTAGTATATATTATATGCATGCACAGAAAGAACCGTTCAGAGATTGAGGGTAGAATTTCAAACAGTAGCTACTTTGGTAGTTTCCCTAATGTATAATGCTAAGGAAAAGCAATGCTTATATATATATTACACGACTATCACAGCACGAACCATATAATATATCTTAGCTCATCCTTTGTCGTACGTCACCTTTTGAACAGATTAGATTTCTTTTTTTCTTTTTTTCTTTTTTTTTGTACAATTGAAACTTGATTTCACCACCAGCTATAACTAAAATATACATTATTCCCTTCTACATTGAAACATGCGAAATTTCACTGATTTCCACTTAAGTACATCGACATTCACGAGCTTTTCCGAAATGACCAAATTACCCCCTCGAGAAAAACGTTGGATCGCATAACTCCGTAGAAAACGCACATTATTTTAGTACTATATAAACAACCACCTAAAAATAGTATAAGCTCTTTACTGAAACGACACAGCTATAACCCTCGCTTATCCCGTTGAACTGGATTTTCTAGAGGGGGAAAAAAAAAAAATTATCTCAACAATTCCAACGGAAAACACAAAAAGAGATCATTGGCGGAGGTCCATCAGTTTTATGATCACGTGCCTGTTTCAGCTCCTCCTGGAACACCTGGAATGCCTGGTCTCGAGGCACGAGCGCTCGCTGAGGATGACCGTAGTGAAGCGCCAGGCGGCCGCCCAGTCAGGCGTCTCGTCCGAAGTCGAGGTACTCAAAGCCCTCAAGAGCCTATTCGAGCACCACAAGGCCCTGGACGAGAAGGTACGTGTCCCTGCACCGCTTATATATATATATACACGTACCCTATATTTATTGACGCGGTCTTTTAAGTTATTGGGGTCCGAGAGAGGGCGTGTGTCCGGAGTTAAATGCTCGGATCCTCAAAGTGTACTTATACTATACTGCAGTGCTCGATTGAGAAAGAGAGAGGTCTTTTTTTTTTTCTTTTTTTTTTTCTCTTCACTCAAGAATTGTACAGGTACATCACGAGTTCAATCACATGGGTATACACTCAGCTCTCTCTCTCTCTCTCGGCGAGTTATTATTATATACTTCACAACGCGACGAGCAACAGTTGGTCTATTATTATTATTTTTTTTTTTTCTTCATTCATACCTTTTCGGGTAAACGGAGACTTTGAAACTCTTTTTTTTTTTCCACAATGAATGGTAACAAAAGAAAGAAAAAAAAAAATTCAAAATGTTTTTAATAATCCTCAACTTTGTGGTGTGCGTTGTGTTATCTACAGGTACGTGAGAGATTGCGCGTCGCTCTCGAGAAGATTACGAGCTTGGAGGAAGAACTCGCCCATACCAAAGAAGAGGTAAGGAATTATATTATTATCGTCATCATGTATGCGTGCGCGTGGCGCGTAATATACGTAATAAAAATGGGTCAAGAGGTCGCAGTGTTACGCGGTTTCCCTATACGTATCTCCTTTTTATGGAGGAAAATATATATATATATAACGCGCTCTTCTTCAACGAATGGTACAAAAGCGCCCTTTGTGAGTTGTCGGTTGGGCTGGCGTGTTTCCGAGTATAATTTTATACAAACGCGTCTCGTACGTGTGCGTCTCCTTTAAAATATCAGGCGTCAAAGAGATACTTGCGGGCAAATTTTTTTTTTTTTTTTTCACGCCTTTCGAATTATAAAAGCTGTGTGGGTTTGATAATGATGGTGAAATTGTTGGCTTTGCGTGTGAGTGTTACAATTTATAATGGCACTGTTTCAAGATTTTTTAAAATAATTCCGTAGGTATCTTATATTGATGCACAAAACTATTACACCATAATAATGCCTATACGTATGAAACATTGATAGTCTACATGTTCAATCAGTTGCATCACCTTGAATATACGTGTATGCTTTTGATTGTCCAAAAACCAAAAATCCCAATGCTAAATGGTCAATCATCGAATCACGTATTTTCTGCTACAACAATCTAATTTTTAAATTAAAAATTAAGTACATCAATTTTCAAAATACCAAGATTGGCGAGTGTGTGGTTTCATCGATTTCGGGGAAATCGGCGCTAAAGCGACAAATTCACGGGAAATCCTTAAAACACACCCTATCTCGTGATTTATCGGTGGCTTTTAGAATCGATTTTCCGCGCGTCGTTTTCTCGCGTAGCTATACCTTTTGATCGTACATCGAGACACACCCGGTGGTACAACACAAAATACAAACGGACTTTGTCCTGCAAGTTGAACGAAATTTGTAGTTAACCGCATAAGGACAGCGCTCTATAAATCGATAAAAAAAATCCCGTCTTGCACGACCACTGAAGTATAATTAATTAAGCGCTACTCGTGGGCGAGAGAAAACGATTTTCAATTCGTGGATTGATTTTCATTCGCAGCTTCAGCAGTACAAATCTGGTCACAAGTCCCTGGACGATCGGCCAAAGGAAAATGGTCAACCGGAGGACATCCAACAGCAGCAGCAAAAGGTAGCAAGCCCATAGCTCTTTTGGTGTCGCAAAACAATCATATACACTCAAGTAAAGTTCATCGACGCATATCCATACGCGCATAGCGCCTGAACACGTAAACCGATCATTAGCACGTGAACATCATATTATTATGTGGATATCCACAACATGCATCCCACAACGTATACATACTTCACTGTATGCACCATTAACAGATCTGTAAATAAATATACTATGGACGTACGTGCACATGTGAAAAAGTGACACTATAGCTTTTAGGATATGATTCCTCCGTACATGTACATGAGCCACATAAAATTCTCATCCCGTATTTACTTGTATGTACCATGCGCACATAATAACACGTATATATGCACTGTCTTGCTTACATTTTCTCTGTAACAATCATTTTTTGTGTGACGTTTTTTTCATCCTTTTTACCTATACTTGAAATATACTCTATTACTCTTAATCCTACGATCATTTGAAATGTATTTTTTTTTTTTTTTTTTTTTTTTCTTTCTAAGTGTTATTAAAGCTTGAGTGTGCACTGTATGACGTGCGTTTTACATCGATGCGCACAAATTTTGGTAAACATGAAGTACTAAAATCATAAAAACAAATACATACATACATACACAATATATTTAGGTATTTACAACATCATAGATTTGCATTAACCAAGCAATTTACAAATTTTTTGTACTGCACCTAGTATATAATACATACTATATGTTTTATTGCTTTGAAACAACACACAGTGTATATATAGGTACGTGGTAGTAGTACGCAGTATGTAGTATATATTATATGCATGCACAGAAAGAACCGTTCAGAGATTGAGGGTAGAATTTCAAACAGTAGCTACTTTGGTAGTTTCCCTAATGTATAATGCTAAGGAAAAGCAATGCTTATATATATATTACACGACTATCACAGCACGAACCATATAATATATCTTAGCTCATCCTTTGTCGTACGTCACCTTTTGAACAGATTAGATTTCTTTTTTTCTTTTTTTCTTTTTTTTTGTACAATTGAAACTTGATTTCACCACCAGCTATAACTAAAATATACATTATTCCCTTCTACATTGAAACATGCGAAATTTCACTGATTTCCACTTAAGTACATCGACATTCACGAGCTTTTCCGAAATGACCAAATTACCCCCTCGAGAAAAACGTTGGATCGCATAACTCCGTAGAAAACGCACAGTATATCAAAATACAATCCCAGCGTCTTCTCGCATCGGTATATCAAACTCCCTTACATTATTTCTTCCCTCTGGAAACCGAAAGAAAGGTGAGCGTACCTTCACCGCGAGGGGAAAAAAAAAAAACCTAAAGAACATCCGAAATATAACAACCCCAACCACCACTGTCCCGTTGGTCGCTCCAACGACAGCAGAGTATAGGGAGCAAAAAAAAAAAANGCCTCCTCTCTCTCTTTTTTCATCTCTCTCTCTCTCTCTCTCTCGTCACTATTTTCTTCGTGCCTCCACTTTTTTTTTATCGATTCCCTCTGCGTGTGGTTTTTTTTTCGTGCTCTCTGTCGCCCTAATGTTTTAGATCTCCCCCACCACTGTCCCGTTGGTCGCTCCAACGACAGCAGAGTATAGGGAGCAAAAAAAAAAAAAAAAAAAAAAAAAAAAAAAAAAAAAAAAAAAGAAAAGGATACTCAAGCCATATTCTGAAAAATGTGGTGGTCTTGCATGTGCGCGCGTGTCGCCGCGACAGAGTCCGGCAGCCGAGCAGGTGGTGAAGCCGCAGCAGCCCAGTAAGGACGCCACCTTGCAACCACAGCCCAGGTGCATCAGTCCGGATAGGGGGTCCGAGCTAACGAGCAATGGCCCCCTAGATGAAACCTCGAGGCTGCGAGAACTCCAGGCTAACCTGGACAAGCAGGTACGTCGGCTCCGAGGTCGGCTCGGTTCGCAGGGATAATTAACCGTGATGGACATTGTGCCGTGGGGTCGGTGGAAATGTGCAAGTATACATCCCTGTCGATGATATATTGTTCCGCATATTTAGTTCTGGGACGGTGAATTTACTCGCGTTTTTCGCGGCTGGCGGGAGTTCTTCATTGGTTAGGGGATTCCGAAGAGTCATGAGTTCATTCGTGGCCCAAACAGCTTTGGTTGTGTACGAGATTAAGGGGCTAAAAGTGGCCAGCTCAATCGTTTACTTACTTTGCAGCTGAAAAAAAAAAAAAAAAAAAAAAAAAAAAAAAAAAAAAAAAAAAANATATTTATACATCATTCTTTTTCTTTCAAAGTTATTACTGCACAACAGAACGAGCGACCGCGGCTGTGTATGCTTTGTAACTATAGGCATGCAACAATACAATGTACGAGGTATAATAATAATAATAATAAAATTAATAATAATAATAATAATAATAATAATAACGTATAAAGACACTGTGAGTTGGAAACAAATCGTTGGATCGGAAGGAAATGGAGGATTTTGAGGAAAAAGAAAGAAAAAAAAAGAACAAATACAACACATGGTCCGCGCGCAAAAAAAAAAAGGAGGAGACTATCGCAAAATAAGGGCGAACATAAACCAACTACTATCAACAACGCGCAGTACAAGGAGAAAAAGAAACGATCAAGTGGCTTTCTGCATATAGCTCGCCCGTCGAGCTTCGACCAATCAATCGTTCCCACGTTCTTCCGCCAATTTTTCTTGCTCCATATTGCATTTTTCTCCGCAACACCCAACTATTTCTTTCCTCTCTCCCGCTCGCCCCAACACATTCCCACCGCACCGATTCAACTCGCTTTTTATCTCTGTTCCACAATTAGCCTCGCTCCGATGATTCTCTCTCGTTCCTCTCCTCTCCCCGTTTCCTTACTTTTTCTTTCCATTGTGATATTAGTCCCTTTTGCTTCCTCCCTTCTGCCGCGCGCGAAATTCCATCGGACGCACAGTACTGTGAAGTATATGGATGTGCGCAGATTTATTATTTTTTTTTTTTAAGTCTATAAGCTTATAAGTAGTTTTGTTTTCTGTTCCCAGGTTTAATTTTTTTTCTTAGAACTCTACTCTCGGAATACACAAAGTCATCGATGTGAATACATTTTTGATACTGAGATTTTTTAAATAGTCTTTAGATTATTTTTTTTTTTTAAGTATACGTAGTACGCAAGAATAGAATATGTTTTACAAAGTGAAAAATTGTCAAAAATGAATAATAAGTATATGTTAACTTATTCGTTTACATAAAAGCGGTATACCAAAAGATTTGGACTCTTGCCACCAGAGAATAACTATGCACTGGTGAGCATCGCAAGTATTTTATAATTTTACGATTTCATCATAATACGAATCTTCAGTGCATTTAGATCATGCATATTTTAAATACGAAAAGCCAATTAACAGCATATAACGCACCATCACGACGGTAGTGTACCTTACATGTAACAATTAACATCATGCGTGTGATAAAACATTTTTCCCTATCTACCCTAGATAGTCATTACCCTTAAAATAGAAAAAATTTGCAACGATGATACCCAAGGTTTTGCTGGTAGCAAGAATTTTTTATTTATTTTTTTTTTTTTTCATCTAGTCAGCAGCATCACATAAAAAATTTAGTTTTCATCGCGTTATATGTTGACTCCCAGAGTCTAAGACTTTGCCTTGGCGCTTGATGGTTCGAAAATACTACGGCTCTCAAAATTCTGATAAAAATTGTTGGAGTAAATGAAAATTATCGCCGTTTTTCAAACGTCACGCCCCAAAGTTTTTCACTAGACGCATACTTATTATATCAATCGCCATTTATTATTGTTGAACACACGCGGAAGTGATTGCTATACTTCTTTCTGGCGCACTATTTTTGAAGTCTTAACAATTTGAAACGAGTTGCCGTGTCTATACTAACAGTGTGCCATAAAACCCGTGGAACTCGATTTTCACCCAACGGATAAAATAGTGCACGCCGAAAAAAAAAAAAAAAAAAAAAAAAAAAACAACCCGACGTGGGCTTGCAGAGCGCGGAGCTGAGCTCGTGGCAGCGTCGAGTCGCGGAGCTGAGCAACCGAGTGGCCGAGCTCGAGGAGACCCTGACCAAGAGCCAAAAGGAGTTCGTCAAGGCCCAGGACGCGAACGCCAAGCTGCAGCGCGACCTCCGCGAAAACCTCGCCCAAAAGGAGGACCAGGAGGAGAGGATAGCCACCCTCGAGAAGCGCTACCTGAACGCCCAGCGCGAGTCCATCAGCTTGCACGATCTCAACGAGAAGCTCGAGCAGGAGCTACAGCACAAGGAGGCACAGCTCAAGGTACGCTATACACATCGGTTGCATCGGTTGCCGTTCGATCCACCACCACCGAGTCTTGTTTTGATCATCGGACCAAGGTCTCGATCGACGATACATGTTGATACGCGCGCGAGACAAATTTACGGTGTACTTTTCGGCCATCGATTAAATGCAATTATCCGGCACGGGGGTTTCGGGGAAAATTCACTTTTTTGTGAATACTAATAATGATTGTTTTGATGAATCGAGTTGAGTCATGAATCTAAATTACTTGTAGTCGATGTAGTAATGAATAAAATAAATAAATTTTTAACTACGCCAGAATAGATTTAAATTCATGGTCTTGGATATAGCTCTGGATCGCGTTATACATCGAACCCAACAAAAAATAATGTCGTGGCGAAAATTACTTTAGAGATGCGGACCTAAAAATGAAAAAAAAAAAAAAAAAATAATAATAATAATAATGATGATGATGATGATGAGAATCACAGTCTCACGCTTGTATTTTTGTGTTTGTTTTCGCGTTTGTATTTCTCCTCGATTGTCCCCCGTTGCCGCCTCTTTCACGATGCCCGGTGACGGCGACGTCGACAACAGCTGCAAGAGGAAAAAATAGCGGCCGTGCAGGCGAAACTGGAGCACGCCGAGCAAGAGCTGGCACAATTTTCGAAGCTACCCGAAATGGAAGAGCAGCTCAAACAGAGGATGGAGGCTCTGACGCAGGTGAGGAGGCCCAACCAGGTACGCAAGGGAGATCCATATCATCACATCGACAGAGTCTTCCTGTTATCATTGCCTCCTCTCTCTCTTTTTTCATCTCTCTCTCTCTCTCTCTCTCGTCACTATTTTCTTCGTGCCTCCACTTTTTTTTTATCGATTCCCTCTGCGTGTGGTTTTTTTTTCGTGCTCTCTGTCGCCCTAATGTTTTAGATCTCCCCCGCACACTTGTTTTTGTCTTGTTCGTTTTACCACGACCGAGAGCTCTAGTGGAACTTTGACGGCGAGTATTTTGCTGGGAATTTCATTTCTTGGTAGTTAAGACGATGACGATGGCCTCGCCGTAGTTTCACCGATGATGATTCCCGGCTGCGCGCACAGAGACCGGCGTTTCGAATCAATGAAAAACTTTTACCGTGCGCCCAAGAGCGCCGGGAATGAAACTTTTCAACGAATTCGTCCCTCAAAGGTGCAATGAGCCACGTAAATTAATGGGGATTCGCCGGAGTCAGACAATCAATTTTCAAAAGAAATAACGTGGATACATTTTTTTTGTCAATAAACAAAGTATAATCGACAAAATTTTTCTTTTTTTCTAAATAATTCAATTTCTTAATAATTAAAGTGAATTGACATACCTAGTCTAAAGATATGAAAGCATTTATCAGAACAGTTGTTGAAGCCTAAACGATCGAAAAACGGAGTTATTGAGCCTAATGAGTTTTTAATGCGATTGAAAATCATTTTTTTTTTTCTGCTTAACAGTTTGTCAAAAATTTTACTTTGATATTTGGTACAATAAGCACTAATTTTTACGATTTAAATGATGGAAGAATAATTAATACATCTTTTGATAAAACTATTCATTGCAGACATTTGTTTCGCGTACTTAAAAATTTATGTGTACGTATAATTTAAAAGCAACATTTCATCTTCCTTCATTTACTGTGGCTACATGCATAAAAAAGTCCGGTAGTAAAAAAAAAAAAATAATTATAATGATAAATAACGAGTGAAAGTGTCTTCAATTTCTTCCTTTCAATTCACTCTACATATTTTTCTAAATGTTTACATTTTGCACTTTTTACGCACAAAAAATATTTTCACTGAAACAATTATATAAAAGATTCAGGTAAGTTGTTTTTTCACACCATTTTCGTGTTTTAAAAAATTTTTTTCAACTACTTATGTGTTTATTATTAAATCATCATTCTGCAGAGTACACGTTTTATGATATATCTCAAAAATTTTTATTTCGACAACCAATTAAATAATAGCATTTTTTTGGTGTTATTATTTACGATACTCATCTGAAACTTTTTTTTATTACACCTCTATAACCACTTTTTTCCTAATTATCTCAACTGTATATATAACACACACACACACTGTATGATACTAACATTTATATCTTTACAATCGACTGATGAGTGCGCATGTGTGTTACTATAACCATATATTTCATACAATAAAATTACTATATTAATTCTCAAGACATCAATGAGTACCTGTACACGATGATTACACATTTGCATAAGGTAACATGATGTTTTTATGTGGCGCAATATTATTTACGAATCGTACATTGAATGTCTGGCAAATTGTTTCATGAAAAAAGAAAAAGGTGCCTTTAAACGATTAAAAAAATATAGCCCCCTTTACCGGAGTATCTTCAATCTCTCGTTTGTTCCACCGCGGAACACTTTTATCGTTCGGTTCGGTTGATTTTGCTCCAAAAGTCACGTGAATCCAAAGATGATCGCTGTGCAACAATTTTTCACGAGTTATCAAATTGGACAATCTTTTGGAAAAAAAATAAGCTCACATTCAGTACCGTGAAAAGCTATTTCGAGCTATATAAAAGATAGTAAGGTAAAAGACAAAATGGTGACACTGGGAGTTTTATCCGAAACCTGGCAGCTGTAAAAAAAAACGAAACGGAAGATGGAATGAAAAAAAGGGGGAAAATTTTGTAATGGCCCCCGAGTTTTTTGAAAAAAATAAAAGTAAAGAAGTTTCCATCGAAACACGAACGCACTCATAGA